GATACATTTCCGTACAAAGCCCAGATGATTTACAAACTGGCAAAATGTACTGCTATGTGCTAACCTTACCTGAAACTTTAATACGCCCTAACTTTATTCTCTGTTTTTCCACAGCTCTGATTGAATCATACCTATTTTCCGGCACTCTGATTTTTTTGCAGAATGAGGCAGGAAACAGACAGATAGTCTGGGAGATTACTCACTTTCTAATGAATTGTGGCAGACATTGAGTTTGAAAGGTAACCAATCATATATCCTAATTTTCTTTTCTCTTTTTTTTTTTTTGAGATGGAGTCTCGCTCTGTCCCCAGGCTGGAGTGCAGTGGCGCAATATCGGCTCACTGCAAGCTCCGCCTCCCGGGTTTATGCCATTCTCCTGCCTCAGCCTCCTGAGTAGCTGGGACTACAGGCGCGTGCCACTACGCCTGGCTAATTTTTTGTATTTTTAGTAGAGACGGGGTTGCTCCGTGTTAGCCAGGATGGTCTCCATCTCCTGATCTTGCGATCCACCCGCCTCGACCTCCCAAAGTGCTGGGATTACAGGTGTGAGCCACCGCACCCAGCCCATATATCCTAATTTTCCAGAGAATTTCTAAACATTTTTATGATTATCCATAAAACAAACTAAAAAATCGATTTCTAACTCCCAAATACTCCAAATATCTTAACCCTATTATGAAAAAGCAAATACATTTTCCCACCAGTAAACATTCTCAATCTTATCTCTCTCCTCTCTACTCCACAATCCTACTCCCCTCCGTGTTTCCTCCTTGCTAGTCTTAAAATTTGGCAGTATTATACTTATTGAGTAAATCTCTCTCAGCAATATTTTGTACTGGTGTTTGCAGCAGTGGATAACTTTTAGGGGGAATCTGAAGAAAAATCCTTTTGCTGCCTTCAAAATGAAAGGTTATCATAGTAAACTCATCTACTGTAAAAATCCATTCTGTCTCTTTTACCATTCTTGGATACGATGTCTCCCTCACCTTTTTTCTTTGAAAGCTAGTTCTTAATCATTTTGGCTTCCAGGAGTTGGCTATTGTTTTTCTATTTTACACACTTAAGTTGTACTGGCAGAATGTTTTCTTTGAGGATTAAATACTCTGGTCTATTCTAAATGTCGTCTCTTAGCTTACAAAACAGTTTTGCAAATCAGATTACATTTTTTCAGATATTTTATTAACTTGTCAGTTTCCATGTGGCTTGTCTATTTCCTCTGCCATATTTATATTCACCACAGTGGGTGAAATCTTATTGTTGGCTCCTACCCGTCCTACCTCCCTACCCTTCTCACAGGGCCTCAATTTCCTGTTCAGGAATTATCTACACTTCCTTATATTACTCAGTCTTCACGGGATATGAATCCCGTGAACTTTGCAGAAGACTTCTATCATATCCCTTTTCATTCTCCAAGATCCCCAAAGAGGCTGAATGTAACTGAAACTCTCACAATTAGTTTCTTTCTCCAGGGACTTTGTGTCTTGAGTAGACTAACAGAGGGTGGAAGAAACAGTCATGTTACTAATTGCAGGGTGTCCCAGGGTGATAATACAGCTATAGAGATCCCCTATGCCAACTTGACACTTTTTGTTCCAAGTTGCTCTTCAGCCCTCTCTCTGATTCTGTAACATTTCTATGTCCTATTACATTCGCTTTCTGCTCAATATAGCTATTGGTTTCCGTTGTAAAACAATGTTACGTGGTATATTCACATAAGTTCTTTTCTACATGTGTCACCTTCTCTTGCAATGTCATATTTTACATGTTTTTGCACTTGTCAATGTCAATATCATCTTTGCTTTACTCTTATTCTGCAGTAGCATTTCCAAAAATTGTTCTGAAAAATAATTATAATTTACTGTTAGCAGATGTCACTTCATTTTTTTTTTAAATAAAGGAAGGCTATTGTTAAGTAAGTGTGGAAAATGCAAGGATAAATAAAAGTTAATTTGCTTTTTTTGTGCATTCTAAATTTCCAAGAAAGAATACAGGATGTAGCTCTTCCCAAACATATTTTTAGTATCTACACAGATACAGATTTATCCTGCCATATCAAAAGAAACTAGTGGTCTTTAGAACATATTTTGGGTAATCATATTCTAGATCCTGCTATATTTACCATCTCCAGTGAGAATTTTAGTTCCCTTCCAGCTTATAATAGAGCAGTGCTACCTTTTAAATTTATTTTGAATACTGATCCTTCCTATTTAATATTAATCTTATCTCCATCCTATCTGTTTGTAATTCTCGTGGTTGAGTTTCTTACATAACATTGGAAAATACTGAGGATTGACTTTTTTATGGTGCTACAAAATATTTTAACTGAGCTAGGAGGTTTCAAATTTTTGAATATGCGCCTGTAATCAAAGTTTACTACAGGTACTTCATGTTTCTATTAGTTTTTCGATAGCTTAGACTTCTGCTGGGATTTTTAACTATTGTTCAGTGTTTCTAACTGTAACTTTCCTGAAACTCGTGTCACAAATCAGTGGTACTTCTTCTCCTGCTTTTGCAATATAAATTTAAGAATCTTGAGCTGATATCAATGTGGGGTCTATCTACTTCTGATGGTGATTTGTTCTTAAAATACTCCTGAGCCTCAGTGATGAAATCAGAATGTCAAATTATGGTGGTTTAAAAGTCCTCCTACGAGATACACAGAAAGATGAATTGTCCTAGACACCTTAGTAAATTGCCTGATCTACATAAAAAGTGTGTCGTATAAAACTTTATCAACTATTTAAAACCAACTTATTCATAATTTGCTATGTTGGTGTTCTATTACATGAATGCTCATTTAAAAACATTTTGATATGAATACAAATAGCTCAAGAACAGACCTGGGGTAAAATAAATTTTCTAGATCACATTCCTAATGGCCAATTCCCCTGAATGCATTCATCAAATGAAAATCAATTGTCAGGGACTAAGTAATTGGGAGAAATAGGTAAGTGATGATGTTAAAACAATCCAGTATTAATCACTTCTCACCTGCCAACACCACTTCAGAGAATATTTATTGATTATAGCAATATTATTCAAAATAAAAAGATACTGAAAATAATCTAATTGTCTAACGTTTAGAAACTATAAGAAAAAACATGCTAAGAATATGGGTCCCTATAACTAAAGCACTCTACAGATAAAAAAAATGAAAGAAGAAAATCTTAAATTTTTATCATAAAAATAAAAATACAAAAAACCTACATGTAATAAAAACATGTTTGTATAGTGATGAGGACAAAGCAGACTGAAAGAATAGTTATTTGCAATGGAAGTGTTCTTTGTAGCCATTTGTTTACTAAAGTTCACTGTACAGAATTAAAAAATATCCTTACAAAGTCTTAGGCAAATTATTTTATCTATAGGCAAACTATAATATGTGGGTATTATAATTATATATATACACACACATCAAGTATACACATATATAGAAACACATATATATGTAAATTTAAAACACTGAGTGAAAAAGTATCCTAATCAAATATGGTGTATATTTAGAATAAATACGTATGTGTTTTTCTTTGTATGCTCTATTATCCTAATTGAGCCCAGACACAAAAGGATGCAATCCTTATTTCCTCCAAATTGTCTCACCTCCACAAAAATCATGGAAGAAGTTAAAACCAAGGTCATCTTAGTATATCATATCCAAAGCAATGAGAACATCCTGGCATTGGATACTCAAGGACAAGTATTCTAAAAGCAGAAACCTGTTAACTAAAATAACATTAGTTAATTTTAAACATAAGTTTTTAAAAATATAGTCTTCTGGGGTATTTTGGTTTGGGCTTAATCCTTAGTATACCCTAAACTGAACTGAACAAATGAAGTTATTTGGTAGTGGAAAAATCGAAAAAAGGGAGGAAGAGGCATAATGTACCAGGGGATCACATTACCCTGGCTGAGAAGGTAACAGAGTCCACAATGAACAACATTTAACACTAAAACAGGAGAGATACAGAGGAATACAGAAGTCATCTATTTACTTTGGAAAGATCGAAGATAGAATAAAATCTAAACAGAGAGGAAATGTAAGATTGTGAAGGTTGTATGTTGTGGTTAAGAAAGTGCTTGAGAGACACAAACAAAGTCAAGCAGCTTTTCTCATTAAACATTTATTGCTCTGCTTAAATCTGTTTGAAGGAGCATAGCAATACATGAAATACTGCATTGGGTAAGATCTACTCTTTCCCCAGTTGGAATGCTGAGGCTAACTCAAATCTGATTGATGTGCAACTGAAGTATGTGACAGTTTTTCCATAATGTCAGCATTTAACACTGTCAACATTAAAGATGAGGCCCATTCCAACAACCCTTAGTGGACACCTACGATATTCATAAAGTTGTCCAAAACCTTTCAAGAAAATAGCATCAGCGGCCTTTAAGAGGATACAAAAATCCTTTCTTAATCTATCAATAAAAGGCAGTTAAATTTAAAATTCCTGCCTTGCTCCAAGCAGTGGATAATTAATGAAGCCTTGACTCAGGAAGAGCTCCAAAGCACTTGATACAGGGATGCTGGCCTTTAGGACTGTTTACTTGGTAGCTAAGTGTCTCACCCCCTCAATTACATAAAAACTATAATTTTTATATCTTACTTGCCAGGCTTTATTCATTTAAAAAAGTTTTTATTTGTATTAACATTAAAATAATTCTTAAAGAAAAAAATTCATCCACAAGCCTGCCACTACACTAAACTTCTTTAATTTGTCCATAGGCACATATAATTTGTAGCTATAATCACACCATACATAACACAATAGAGCCAGTTTTTAAAGGCGTTAACATTTGCTGACAATATGTTCTGCCAAACTTTCCCAGCTTGCTCATTTAATTAGTACGTATTATAAGAAACTCAGTGTAAGCTACAGCTTCATTGAAATATAAAAATTCCATAGATTCCTTCTAAATATATGTCACAAATGGCATATTTTACCAAAAACGTAGTTTAAGACGCTTTATAATTCACATTTATATACCACTTTTCATCTTACCTCTTCTCCAGACAGATAGTAGGCTGAGAGTAGTCCACCAACAAAGCGTATATTTACTTCAAAGACAGAAATTTCAGCATTCTATGGAAAAAAAAATCAAACATGATAGTACACATTTCAGAAAACCATAATTGTGATAAATTATACTAAATACTTAAATTTTGTTCAAATCTTATGCTTACCCAGAGAAATTTACATACAGGGGGAAACGCTCTCCCTTTTAAAATTAAAGTATTAAATATCACTGTGCATTACATATATCAAAACATCACTAATGGACCCCCCAAATCATACAATCATTATACAACAATTTTTTAAAATAAAGAAAAAACATACTTAAAATAAAAGATATGGAGTGTCTCTGTGTCCCCACCAGAATCTCATCTTGTAGCTCCCATTATTCATACATGTTGTGGGATGGACCGCATGGGAGATAACTGAATCATGGTGGGCGGGGGTCTTTCCCGTGCTGTTCTTGTGATAGTGAATAAGTCTCATGAGATCTGATGGTTTTAAAAAGGGAGTTTCCCTGTACAAGCTCTTTCTCTCTTTGACTGCGGCCATCCATGTAAGATGTGACTTGCTCCTTGCCTTCCGCCATGATTGTTAGGCCTCCCCAGCCATGTAAAACTGTAAGTCCATTAAACCTCTTTTTCTTCCCAGTCTCAGGTATGTTTTTATCAGCAGTGTGAAAATGGATTAATACAATAGATAAAAATAATTTTGACTCCTAAACAAAATTATAAAAATATTTGCAAAATAAAGTTCTTTCCTCTCTTCAACAGCAGATACAATACTTGATATTCCCTATTTGTGTAAATGCAATGGGGCCAGGGTATTTTTTTTTCTGATCTGCATTCTCCTTTATTTTATTCATTTGTCTGCTTCTTATTCCTGAAAGGCCATTCAGCCTACATTAGTCTAGGAATCTAGTAGTTCAACATTAGTCTAGGAATCTTTTCATCATGATGCACAGCTGGACTGCAAATAGGATTTGAAGTCCGAGGACTTGGGTCCTAGTGCTGGTTTCCAACTTTTTGCCTGTGGCTTGGGATTGTTCTTCTCATCTCTGAGAAGATAATTCATCTTTGCATAAAGGACATGATAATAATCATGTATGCTATACCATGGTGAAATAGTCCTTATTTACATCAATAATAGCTTGCTTTTATTATTTACAACGTACCAGGTGCTGTGCTAATGTCTTTATATAGACTATCTCTTTTAGTCCTCACAATGACCTTATGAATTAATTACTATTCGTATGTCCATTTTAAAATGATGAAGCCGAGACTTATAGTGGTTAATGTTACTTTTTGAAGTTCAGACAACTAAACTTAGAAGCAGGATTTGAACTTGAGTACTGTGACTCCTGATTCAGGGCTCTGCTAGTCTGACTTCTATACACCTCACATGATAATGCCCCCAAGTCTCTTTATTCATGGTCATATAATTAGTAATTACTGCCAATATTTTATACTCGATTAGTAAATAGATCCGTCTTACATTCTGTTACTAGGTAAGTTAGAATAGTTAACCTACTATTTAGATTATAAAGTACATTTCAAGCTTTAGTTACCTTCTTTTCATGTTCATTGGGCCTACTGAGTAGTTGTTCACTTTTGCCTAACATCAAACCACTCACTAATAATCATGGGACTCACAGCAATTTAAAATATATGGAGTCAATATCTGGCAGATAAACTTAGTCAAAATCATGAGATATTATTTCCTTTAACAAGCATTTATTAAGCAATTACTATGTGCCAGATCCTGTCCTAGGTTATAGGGAAATGGCAATAAAGACTGATAAGGTCCTCAAGGTCACTTGAGTCTACATTTTAGTGGGATAAAACATTTCCACAAAAAAAGGTGATAAGTATTCATTTTATCCTTACATGCTCTCTGTAAAAAGGTTTAAGGATCTAACAATTAAAGCCAAATAATTGCTTAAGTTAAAAAAATTCAAAAAAATTCCTATAAAAGGACAATTATGAAAACAAGTTAGGAGACAGAATTATTAGGTCAAAGTTAGGCAAAAACATCACAAAATAAGACTGGTGTGTTTAACTGTATTTTATAATTTGTAATGTGCACCTGATACAATCTGATTAAAAGTACTCTATATAGGTGTAATTTAACTTTGAGGTCTATCACTCTGAATGAGTTTTACATAAATACTGGCAAAGGCTTTAATGTTCTACAAAATTACTGATAAGGAAAAGGGAAGATAATCCATACATTTAGTTTGGTTCACGTGACTGTTTCCTATGTTTAAGAGTAATAATATCTAATAATAAAATGGAATAAGCTTAAACCCTCAAATCACATTCCTCTCAATTAGTACTTGTGTTTTTCAGTTTTTAAACCTGGAAACAGTTTCCCACATTGCTGCCTATTGAAGACTTATAAGATGATCTTATATTCTTATTCTGGCTATAGATTCTTTACATAATGCATTTTCTCTTCCTCCTGTGAAAATCTGGATAATCAGGACCTTTATATAGACATCTGATAAAAATTATTGCAACATGCAGGTCTGAGTTATGTCAAACACCATGAGAAATATATCTTCAGCTAGACATCAATCAACTGTTGGATGCAGTTATTCAACCAGTTATTGATTCAATTACATATTCTAAAACCTAAATTTTATTTATCTTGTACTGTACAATATTGAGAAATGACCCTGCAAGGTGCCATACTCAAGGTAACTTGCTACAGCTCTGGATTTCATGGATCTAACAGTCTGTCCAGTGAGCCTGTTTAAGAAGCAAATCTGGCTTGTTAGTTAATCCATGAAGGATCCCAGTGACTGCTATGTCCTTGTCTTTAATAAATCTTGCTCTGGAACATCACACCAGCACCATCACTAGTTCTCAGGTCACCATCTTCTCTGTTTGAAAACCAGAACCACATTCAAATTTCCAACACATAATTATTCCTCTCTCCTTTTCAAAGTTAAGTTTAAGGAATATAGAAACCTTACTTTGAGGTTGCTTTCAATATTCTAGGTTGTATTATGTTTTTAGGCCAAAAGATTGAAATTTAGACCCTTTAGTTCACTCTTTACAGATCCGTAGATGAAAAAGACTAAGAAGATAAAAATCCTCTCACCACACCAAATTGGTCGGCTATCCTGGAGCAGCAGACTATAAACTGCAGAAATCAGAAACACCTGGGATTGACGGCTGATTTGGAAGCCATCTGAGTTTGAGGTCCCAGGTAACTAATTTATTCCGAGTCTTGGTTTCATCACATGTAGAAAGGGACAAAGCATTCCTCCACGACATAAAGCAATGTACACAATAGCTGGCCCAAGTAACGCACTCAATAGACAGTTGTTGCTGCTACCACTGTGCAGCTCAGCCTAAATGAACTAAAACCTACCTTCCCAGGGTCACTGGAAAATCAGAAACTCTAGAGTCAAAAATACTCACCTTCTTTGGCCTATTTGAGGTCTTATTTCTCAAGGGCTTAAATATCCTCTTTTGAAATACAGAACTTGACCAACTTCCTTTGGGGCTTGATATATTTTATATGAAATCTGAATTTTCAAAAGTGAATTTCTACAATTGAGGGTCTCAGGCCATTTCTATAAACTTCTGATTCTAATTCCCATTAAAATATTACATTTAAATGAATATATTCTTACTAATAATCATGATGTTCTAAAAGTTTTCTACTGACTTACCCTGATGACAGAGGGGGTATGTGGAGCAGGGGGAGGACAGCAGGTAGACAAAGCAGCCTGTAACACTAAATCTTATGAGATTTATCCTAACAATGTGAATTTTGCAGTCTACCTGAGTTTGTTTTAAAATAAACTTAACTTCCCCTTTAAATCTTTAAGATTGCATTCCAGTATGCCCCATGTATTCAGTGGCTTCTAGTACACAGTCTTACGTGAGTGGCAGTTTAAGAAGTAGATCCCGTCTTTTATTTAAATTCCATGTACCTATTAGTTAATGTCAACCAATAAACAAGAGAAGGTTGGAAATTTTTGGTTAAGACCTACCAATAAAAAAATAAGAATTGGAGAAACTGTTCTTTCATTTTGATTTACTTATATCAATGACCACTGAATCAAAGAACTGACTAAACCAGATTCATCTATAAACTGAATATATGGTATGCCTAAATTTACACCTAAAATCAAGAGGCGAGTATTACAAATCATGAAAAAATTATGTCTCAGTACTAATCTCTATCATTGTCTTGGGTGTTTTAGATTGATAACTTCCACCTTAAATGTATCCCTTTTCTGTATATTTTTGTCTACTCATTTACTATACGTATATGTAAATGTATGAGATAAAGTGATAAAGACTGCTAACATGAAAAAAAGAGTCCAATTTATAAATTATTTTGTATGCTTCCCTCCTCCAATCCTAACATCATGCTCCATCCCTCTGCAAAGAAAGGCTTCTTCCGAACCAACGTATCATGAGATCATGGACAGGAAGTATCTAACCCCATCTAGGCAACAGAGAGAATGAACACTTCGAAACCTGTTTTCAAATAAGTATCTGAAAGACCAACCTCTTCACACTAGATAAGACAGCACTTTAAACAATTCTGAAATCTGATATTTTTATAGGCAACTTATTCACCAAAATTAGCTATACGACAATGTATTTTAATAGATTTCAGTAAGTGAAATAACAGGCTCGACAATGAAAATAACAAATTTAAGTTTTGGTGCAGATTCAGCCAGTTTCCTTGTGCTTGAGGAGTTCTATAAAGGTGCAAGCTTTTCCCGCGGAACACATAAATTGTTTCTTTGGACCTTCAAGCCTTATGATGTTTATTCTGAGTCACATTTGTATTAGAATTCTCCTTAATTATTATCTTATGATTCCATACAGCATGACAGATCTGATTGATTGCATTAAATGGAAAAATATTTCTTGGAAAAGAACTTTTCAGAAATATTTAAATTCTATTCTGAGTGCTTGATTTTCAGAGTGAACTCAAAGTGTCATAGTTTTTGTTTTTAAAAGGACAGTTCTCTGATCCCTACAATCAGTGGCTACTCTTTTGCTAGCTATTCCTCCAAACTCTGTATCAGCTTTCTACTT